TCTGTTGTTAAAGAAGGCTAGGAGTTTGCTGTATGACAGGGACGGAGAGTTTTGAGGCAGTGGGGTTGATTGTTTTGTTAATTAATGTTGCAAATGTGGCGAGGGGGTTAATGACAGAGGGTGCCTTCCTTGGACAACATGCAGCCTGTGAGCGTTATTCAGCAAAAAACAACGCAAGCTAGCCAAAGTTGCTGAAATGATTAATACAGATATTCTAGAATGATATAGGGTGCTGAAATGAAATTCCATGGTGTGGGGTACAACTTTGCCTGACTGGAAAGTTTGGAAAATTCAATAGTAAATATATAGAAAGTGTATAGAAATATCCGCTGATCGTCGTGATCAATCATAAAACGTACAGTGTACCAAATGTGAAATAAATGATTTTTCAATTTAACTAATAATCGTGGTTGTACTAATTACAGACACAACCGTCGACAACAAGCAGACAATTACCGACAAGAAGCACACAATTACCGACAACAAGCTGACAATTACCAACAACAAGCTGACAATTACCAACAACAAGCTGACAATTACCAACAACAAGCTGAAAAATACCAACAACAAGCAAATACATACTTTCATTGTATTCTTTTAGTTATTTGTATGAATGCATGGCTGTTTTTGAGGAAAACCCAAACACATACATGCATTGACGTAAATAATTTATAGCTTGTTTCTGTTTGTTACTATTAAACATTTGAGACACATTATACACTTTATAGAAGTTGGTAGTTATATTATTATAGATAATAAGGTAGTTAATACTGATTTTCTACTTGAAATTTTGTTTCCTATCTATACTTTTATATGGTATCTGCCTACGCGAATCCATCATCTTTAATAGCGGAATGTTTTAACTCAACAATATTTGACAAAATCTGTCAAACTTATATATTTTGTGTTTCCTCAAAAACAACCAAATAACTATAATACAATGAAAGTATGTATTTGCTTGTTGTCCGTATTTTTCAGCTTGTTGTCAGTAATTGTCAGCTTGTTGTCAGTAATTGTCAGCTTGTTGTCGGTAATTGTCAGCTTGTTGTCAGTAATTGTCAGCTTGTTGTCAGTAATTGTCAGCTTGTTGTCGGTAATTGTCAGCTTGTTGTCGGTAATTGTCAGCTTGTTGTCAGTAATTGTGTGCTTGTTGTCAGTAATTGTGTGCTTGTTGTCGGTAATTGTCAGCTTGTTGTCAGTAATTGTGTGCTTGTTGTCGGGAATTGTCAGTTGTTGTCGGTAATTGTCAGCTTGTTGTCAGTAATTGTCATCGCGTTGCCGGTAATTGTCAGCTTGTTGTCAGTAATTGTCAGCTTGTTGTCGGTAATTGTGTGCTTGTTGTCGGTAATTGTGTGCTTGTTGTCGGTAATTGTGTGCTTGTTGTCGGTAATTGTCAGCTTGTTGTCGGTAATTGTGTGCTTGTTGTTGGTAATTGTCAGCTTGTTGTCAGTAATTGTCAGCTTGTTGTCAGTAATTGTCAGCTTGTTGTCAGTAATTTTCAGCGTGTTGCCGGTAATTGTCTGCTTGTTGTCAGTAATTGTCAGCTTGTTGTCGGTAATTGTCAGCTTGTTGTCGGTAATTGTCAGCTTGTTGTCAGTAATTGTCAGCATGTTGTCAGTAATTGTCAGCTTGTTGTCAGTAATTGTCAGCTTGTTGTCAGTAATTGTCAGCTTGTTGTCAGCTTGTTGTCGGTAATTGTCTGCTTGTTGTCAGTAATTGTCAGCTTGTTGCGGTAATTGTCAGCGTGTTGTCAGTAATTGTCAGCGTGTTGTCAGTAATTGTCAGCTTGTTGTCAGTAATTGTCAGCTTGTTGTCAGTAATTGTCAGCTTGTTGTCGGTAATTGTCTGCTTGTTGTCAGTAATTGTCAGCTTGTTGCGGTAATTGTCAGCGTGTTGTCAGTAATTGTCAGCTTGTTGTCAGTAATTGTCAGCTTGTTGTCGGTAATTGTGTGCTTGTTGTTGGTAATTGTGTGCTTGTTGTCGGTAATTGTGTGCTTGTTGTCGGTAATTGTCAGCTTTTTGTCGGTAATTGTCAGCTTGTTGTCGGTAATTGTCAGCTTGTTGTCGGTAATTGTCAGCTTGTTGTCGGTAATTGTCAGCTTGTTGTCAGTAATTGTCAGCATGTTGTCAGTAATTGTCAGCTTATTTGTCCAATGGTGTCAGCTTGTTGTCCCAGTAATTATCAGCTTGTCAGCTTGTTGTATCGGTAATTGTCTAGCAATGTTGTCAGCTTGTTGCAGTGGTATCAGCGTGTTGTCAGTAATTGTCAGCGTGTCAGTAATTGTCAGCTTGTCAGTATTGTCAGCTTGTTGTGTCAGTAAATTGTCCAAGCTTGTTGTCGGTAATTGTCTGCTTGTTGTCAATGATGTCAACTTATTTGCAACGGTAATTGTCAGCTTGTTGTCGGTAATTGTCAGCTTGTTGTCGGTAATTGTCAGCTTGTTGTCGGTAATTGTCAGCTTGTTGTCGGTAATTGTGTGCTTGTTGTTGGTAATTGTGTGCTTGTTGTCGGTAATTGTGTGCTTGTTGTCGGTAATTGTCAGCTTGTTGTCGGTAATTGTCAGCTTGTTGTCGGTAATTGTCAGCTTGTTGTCGGTAATTGTCAGCTTGTTGCGGTAATTGTCAGCTTGTTGCGGTAATTGTCAGCTTGTTGCCAGTAATTGTCAGCGTGTTGTCAGTAATTGTCAGCTTGTTGTCGGTAATTGTGTGCTTGTTGTCGGTAATTGTGTGCTTGTTGTCGGTAATTGTGTGCTTGTTGTCGGTAATTGTGTGCTTGTTGTCGGTAATTGTCAGCTTTTTGTCGGTAATTGTCAGCTTGTTGTCGGTAATTGTGTGCTTGTTGTCGGTAATTGTCAGCTTGTTGTCGGTAATTGTGTGCTTGTTGTTGGTAATTGTGTGATTGTTGTCGGTAATTGTCAGTAATTAGTACGACTCAATAATCGTACTGAAGTATGGCACCAGATTCTTACATTTTGTAAAGTAGTAATATAAAATAGTTTTTTGCAATAGCTTTCAGCAATTCAGGCTGGTAGTGGATTCAGCAAAGGTGATGCGTGCGTGCGTGCGAAGTGAAACAAGGTCGGGTCCGGGTTTAGTTTTAGCCGTCGGTTGTCTGTTTGACTTAGAAATTTTACTTAAAATATTTAAAAAAAATTTTTCTCGAAATAAAAAAACTTTCAAGTAAATAAAAAAACTTTGTTTGGATTAGAGAAGGGTTTGGGGTCAGGTTTATCTTAAATATTACGATTGCAGTACGAATAGCAAATCAAACTCGGCGTACTGTTCCAGTACGAATAGTCACCAGTTCGTACAAAGTTTTTATTAGTATCCAGAACTTCGTATAAATTCGTATTATAAATACAACTAAATGAACTAATTATTAAAAAGTAAACTGACCTTTAAACTGAAGAACTTGATTGGCTTGTATACATTGGTTTCTTTGTCATATTGTTCAATTGCTGTTGCTTGTAATTTTTTTATAAACCAGTACTGCGAAGTAGCGAAATTTCGGGCCGCCTTTCACAATAACTGTACATCACAATAACTGCACATCATTTTCTCTTTAATACAGAATCGTTTTCCCCGTCCATTGAGTTATAATTTCCAAAACTAACCAGTCGCTATAACGTAAAATAAGCGGGTATATTTGTGAACAAAAATGCCCTTTGATGACACGAAGTAACCGGCGCCATCTTGTCTTCTCCAAACATTACAAATTTTCCCGCCAAAACCCGCCCCCAAAGTCCCCGTATATACCTGACGTCACAAGTGGCATGGACCCGGACTACCATATTTGGTATGATATTTAAAAAATACGCACTAAATGCAATTTTAATCTGTTTACCTTCGCTATTTTTGCTTTCCACATATTGTAATTATTGTTTGACCCAACCACGACTGTAAAGAAAAGCTAAAACCACCTACATTGCATCGGGGGAATAAATTCACCAGGCGGTGTTTCAAAATTGGAAAAATCTGGCATCGGAAACCGAAAAAGTTGTTGGTTTTTACATCAAATTGGTCTACTTCGATGGCCTTTTTATAAGCGACGAGATATCTAGCATGGAAGAAATTAGTTGACTCTCGACATCCGTTGTTAAAGAAGGCTAGGAGGTCTATGGCTAGTAGTTTACTGCATGACGGGTAAAAGGTATAGCCGGGGAGGGGACAAAAATTTTGGCTTTTATAACACATTAAAATAGGCCCACCCCCCAAAAAAAACCCAAATGGCAGCACTTAATATTACGTGTAACCAAATCTAGAATTTAAAAAGTATACATTGTACTATACATTATACATGGTTTTGCGGGAGTCCAACTACATTTTCACATAATACTAAACAAACTTTATTCAAACTAGCACAGGCCTTCTTCGGCCATAGTGGAAAGTATGCTTTGGCTGCCGCAGGAGGCTGCCGCAGCTGACAAGACCATGTATTCCATCCTGCCGCAATGCCAAAAATATTCTGCCGCAGGTAAAAAATTCATGCTACACACAATACCGCTGACCACTAAACAGTAAACATTGAAGCCTTCACTCTTTAAAAAAAGACATGATATTAAAATCAACAGCTTTTTTGTCAAATAATGAATACATCTTAAGATGTGTTGATACAACACACCACTGACGTGTCACCCAAATTGTGCCGCAAGTATTTTCTAAACTATTTCTGCCGCACTATCAATTTTACAGTTTTTCTGCCGCAAGATTTTGCCGCATCAGCAGTTTTTGACATTTTTTGGTCCATATTAGAAATCCATATTAAAAGTCACTTTGAATAAATACAATTTTGCAAAATGTCTAAACTTTGTAAAGTATTTTTAGAAAAATACAATACTTTGAATAAATCTTTATTTCCCCCGGAATTTCTACTACAACAATTGTGTACTAACATTACTTTCTCACTTAACACGTCATTCCTAAATTTAGTATCCATTATTTATTAACTTCCTATGAACCTAAAAATGGTTAAATGATGTCACCTCAGCTTGACCACATGATCATTGATCTCCCAGTATTGTCATCATTGCTTCATGTTTATCAAAGCATTTCTTTGCCAATATCCAGCCTCCCTTGTCCCCATCACAGGATGCAATGTAGAAACCGTTGTTCTTTTTGTGCCAACCAACTTCAATTTCATGATCATGCCCTTGAATTTCTGAAGATACTTTAGTGACAAAACCACCTTGTTTGATTTTTTCAACTTCATCCGGGTAGAGCTAAATAAATAAAGAAAGTGGTTGTAATGTATTCATGGTTCAAATCATGTTTTTACCAGTCGAATATAATTGTCTTGATGAAAGAAATGTTTTTCGACAATTTTCAGAAAGTTTGCAATAGTTTGAGGCACTTTTTGAATTAAAAAAAAAAATCCTATGGCCTCCCCCCTCTTTTATTTAGCTTTGCCAACTAGGGCAGGGTCACCACAACAGCATATGCCAATTACTGTGGGCCCTTTTTACCTAACCCACCCTGTCAACTTTCCCTGTGGGAGGAAACCGGAGTACCCAGGGAAAACCCACGACTTTCGGCAGAGCGTTGACTTTTAATCTTTTCACATGAGGACTGGGTTCGAGTCGCATTGAGAAAGTTCTCACTGAGGCTTGAACCTGCGGCCTCAGAAGTGAAAGGCAAGTATGCTAACCACTTTGGCCACTGAAGCCTCATAAGGCCACTGAAGCCTCATAAGGCCACTGAAGCCTCATAAGGCCACTGAAGCCTCATAAGGCCACTGAAGCCTCATAAGGCCACTGAAGCCTCATAAGGCCACTGAAGCCCTATGGTTGCTGTGGTTCACTTTGTATTTGAGCAAAATTTTTGCAAAGATGTTTTTATCAGTTGAAAGTAATTGTTTTGATGAAAGAAATGTTTTTCAGAAAGTTTGAAAAATTTGCTGTAGCCCCCCCCCCCTGTGATTGGTAAGGCATGATATGGTATGGTATATGGTATGGTATATGGTCAGGTAATGTAAGGAGAGGGTAAAGCAAGGTAACATACAAATGTAGATAGAAATGGTGTAACATACCAGTACATCATGTGTATGGTGGATGACCTTTCTATTCCAAGACTGCCCAGTTTTGATTGATATTGGTTTATCAAGGTTGGCAGTTGCAATCAAGGTTGCAGAGGCAGGAGTGAGTGGTTCTCGAAACAGACTTCCATATGTGTGTGTTTCCATGACTACATCCTCCAGTGCTTCAAGTTCTTTCCAGGTTGATGTTCCTTCATCATGCACTGGCATTATAGGATATCTGCAGTAATGTCAGAGTACAGTAAAGATTTTTTGTGCTGTGTGCAAATACACTAAAAACTAAACTTTATTTATACTGGATAATATATAACTTTATCTGTGTTCCTTCTATACATGTCAATCTACAACCCCATTGGTTTGTAAAAAATACTCAAAAAATTTTTCTTAATTTCTCTAATTCTTTTTTCAAAAATTTTTTCTTTCATCAAAACAATGTTTTTCAATGCTTTTCACTCGCTAGTATAGATTAATGCAAAGTCCAGTCGAACTACATTCATGACCCAATATGATCCACCCTTTGCCCCCTGGTTTTAGAGTCGTGTTATTTTCCTGATGGTCAACAATTTTGGAGTAATTTTTTTACTGCAATCAAAAGGGGGACACAGGGCCAAAACTGGGACCGTATATTGCACTAACCACTGTGCGACCCCATTGAGCCGCAATGCGGCCTACTTATATATTTTTTACTTGTGTAACACCAGACGATTTTACTCGTCAATGGGGAAGCTCTGCAGCCTAATGGGTTAACCAAAAAACCTGACAATGTCTCTAGTTAACCCATTCTGCTGCAATGCGCCCTACTTTTTTTTACTTGTCTATAACACCAGACAGTTTTACTTGTCAATGGGAAAGCTCTGCAGCTTAATGGTTAACCCTCATGCACAACAAATAAGGTATTACCAAATTTAAGCCTCCCTACCTCTGACGTAGGACACCAACTCCTGGAATGTTGGGGAAGAAAGCTCGTATACCGGCAGCTCTTACTCGGGCAACTGTACCCTCAGGGGTTAGTACGCCAACTTCTCCCTGGGTAGTATCTGCTTCATCCTTGTTTTTCTCATCACTCTCAAAGAATTCCTTTGGTGTGATATAATACGTCTTGCTGTTGAGACCATTGAAAGCTGTGTCAACATCGTAGCCACCATTTCTTTTGCCTTCTTTCACCGTCTTTCCTAATTCTGAATTGAACTTTCCTTTATACACCAGTTTGTATGGATTCCATCTATTCAGGGGGGTGAGGTAGATGATTTCAAGAGGGAAGGCATAGCTCCATTTCTGACTGTCAGTCACACAGACTCGCCTCTTCCCTGAACCTTTGCACCTCTCTAGGTTCATGCCTGGAGAATAAAGATGGCTTAGTGTTACTTAATGTGACAAAGTTAAATACAGAATATATAAGCTGTCTAACTAGCATGAAAAGAATATAGTTGTACAAGCAGGAATAGTATTCAGTTTAATCGAGTCGACATGAAAGAAGAGTCTCTTTAGAGTCTCACTATCTCCACAGGAGGAAACAGAATACCTCGAGAAAACCTTTGGTGTTTGTAACCTGGGATTCCCAGAATATACCATGTTTGAGGTAATTTTGTGGTTTAGAATGTGGTCTCGCAGAATGTAAGGAATTATTAAGGCCTCAGTTTGTGTTCTCAGCCTTCGGCGGATAACACAAACATCAGTCTTAATAATTCCTCATACCTGTATCCTGTTCAACCTCATTCAATAAGTCATGGACATGTTCTTCTTGTGTGTGACTGGGATAAATTATAGTCAGGTAACTATATATTACAGAAATTGAACCTGAGTTACAAACTAAGGTAATACGTACTTATCTATTACCTTTCAGTTCAAGTACTATAACCACTTGCTTGCCATACAAACTGTAAAGCCTCGTTCGAAATCTGGTACGAAAATAAATATTAAAAAATATTAATACTAGCCTGCTACTTTAGGTTGTGTATTCATGGCCATCCATAAATTGGAGTCAGAAAATCCTCTATGTCTCAGCTGCTGTCCCATAGCACCCCTCTCCTTGACCTTGTAGTATCTGTGGTAATATGCTGCATTCAATATTTCACCCTCTTTTTCTGGGTCCATGGTTAGAGCCAGCTGGCCTAGAGCATCATCTTGTATGTATGCACCATAGTTATCTTTTCCAGGAATTTCACCCATTATCTTATCCACGAAACTAAATCTATGGAAAAAATGTAGAAATGTGTCATGGTTAGTTCATGTGCCTACGGTTCCTGCTATGTGGGCCATTCCATTTATTGTACCCCCCCCCCCCCCTATGGACAAGTCAAACCAAGTGCCAACACAAACTTCCCCCTAGAAATTCAGAAATTTTTACCTTACTCCTCAGAAAAAATGCAAAGATCAAAGGATGCCGATGCACACAACCCCTCAGAAATGGCTTTTTCAAACACCCTCGGAAATTGTCGTCCATAGCCCCCCCCCCTATGGGGGGTGTACATTAAATGGAATGGCCCCATGCAGTTGACATATATCATAAACTCTGCTGCATGCGAGGAAAGTAATTCCAGTTTCACTTTGCCAAACACCACAGGTAAGATCTGGGTAGTCTACTTGAATAAAGGATGGCCTTAACTGGACATCTAGGGCAAAGAGTTTAAACAAAATATATCCAGCATGATAATGTTAGTTTAGATTTCTCCTGTATAGTAATACTGGATTGCAACTCCAGCAAGAACTGTCTAAAACTGACAAAGCTAGCCAGTATTTACTTCAAAATGATTTACCTTGAGAATCTATCCTTCCAAACATCACTATCGACAGGGTTGATCTGGAATCTTGCAGCTCGTGTTTTAGCTTGCTCTTGTAACGTTCTTGTGTAAGTGATCCGAGACTGGAGGTCATCCATTACACGTAGTCTAAAGAGTATTACAAAAATCAGAGGGCAGTAATTTTGGGACCTCATAGATATGTCCACCAAAAGCCAAAATCCCTATACCTAATAAAACGATTTAGAGGGATGGCAATGATATAACACTGGCATCACTGTCTTACCTGTTCAAAGGTAGATCATTTTTCAACGGGTGGCAGAGAATTCTATAATTCCACTGTGCAAACACAGGGGTTGTTCCATTCTCCAGATCAATAATAGTGGTCGGTAGGTAGGCAAAATTTTCCAAGTTATCTTTCCTCCCAGAGTAAGATGTGAATCGTACTTTACGTTCCAGGTCGGCCCAGCTTGAAGCATCTACGAAATGCCGGTCGCTCTCGAACGGCTCTTCGATTTTGTCTGATGCATGATTCCAGGTGCCTTTAATTGAATTGAATAGGCTTTATCATAAGAGAATAAGCACTTCACAGCAAGTACAAACTACTGATGTATTTGTAGCCCTCCCCACATTACAATAATTAAGCCAAATTTCATAGTCAACAATCAAATCTCTTAAATACAGACACCTTTCTAATACAAACACCTCTCTAATACAAATACCTCTCTAATACAGACACCACTCTAATACAGACACCTCTCTAATACAGACACCTCTCTAATGCTTGGATACCTCTCTAACATAGACACCTCTCTAATATCTGGATACCTCTTTAATACAGACATCTTTCTAATACACACATCTCTCTAATACAGACACTTCTCTAATGCTTGGACACCTCTCTAACATAGACACCTCTCTAATGCTTGGATACCTCTTTAATACAGACATCTCTCTAATACAGACATCTCTGTAATGCTTGGATACCTCTCTAACATAGACACCTCTCTAATGCTTGGATACCTCTCTAATATAGACATCTCTCTAATGCTTGGATACCTCTCTAATACAGACATCTCTCTAATATATACATCCCACTAATACAGACTTCTCTAATACATTCAACTCTCTGATACAGACACCTCTCAAATACAGACACCTCTCTAATGCTTGGACACCTCTCTAATGCTTGGACACCTCTCTAACATAGACACCTCTCTAATGCTTGGATACCTCTTTAATACAGACATCTCTCTAATACAGACATCTCTCTAATACAAACACTTCTCTAATACAAACAACTCTCTGATACAGACACCTCTCTAATACACACATCTCTCTAATACAAACATCTCTCTAATACAAACATCTCTCTAATACAGACATCTCTCTAATACAAACATCTCTCTAATACAGACATCTCTCTAATACAAACATCTCTCTAATACACACATCTCTCTAATACACACATCTCTCTAATACAAACATCTCTCTAATACACACATCTCTCTAATACAAACATCTCTCTAATACAAACATCTCTCTAATACAGACATCTCTCTAATACAAACATCTCTCTAATACAAACATCTCTCTAATACAAACATCTCTCTAATACAAACATCTCTCTAATACAAACATCTCTCTAATACAGACATCTCTCTAATACAGACATCTCTCTAATACAAACATCTCTCTAATACAAACACCTCTCTAATACAAACACTTCTCTAATACAGACACCTCTCTAATACAAACACCTCTCTAATACAGACATCTCTCTAATACAAACATCTCTCTAATACAAACATCTCTCTAATACAAACATCTCTCTAATACAGACATCTCTCTAATACAAACATCTCTCTAATACAAACATCTCTCTAATACAAACATCTCTCTAATACAAACATCTCTCTAATACAAACACCTCTCTAATACAAACATCTCTCTAATACAAACATCTCTCTAATACAGACATCTCTCTAATACAAACATCTCTCTAATACAAACATCTCTCTAATACAAACATCTCTCTAATACAAACATCTCTCTAATACAGACACCTCTCTAATACAAACATCTCTCTAATACAAACATCTCTCTAATACAAACATCTCTCTAATACAAACATCTCTCTAATACAAACATCTCTCTAATACAGACATCTCTCTAATACAAACATCTCTCTAATACAAACATCTCTCTAATACAAATATCTCTCTAATACAGACACCTCTCTAATACAAACATCTCTCTAATACAAACATCTCTCTAATACAAACATCTCTCTAATACAAACATCTCTCTAATACAGACATCTCTCTAATACAAACATCTCTCTAATACAAACATCTCTCTAATACAAACATCTCTCTAATACAGACATCTCTCTAATACAGACATCTCTCTAATACAAACATCTCTCTAATACAAACATCTCTCTAATACAAACATCTCTCTAATACAGACATCTCTCTAATACAGACACCTCTCTAATGCTTGGATACCTCTCTAATGCTTGGATACCTCTCCAAAAAACTTGTCTGCTACAGACACCTGTTTAGTACACATCTCTCTAATTCAACTGTAATTCTAACAGCAAATGTGAACTTACCCTCCATGTAGCACAGAAGTGGTTTAAAGTACTTTCGATAATCCCGAACGCTGTAATCCTGATCACGCCACGCTTTAAACCATTGTACCATTTCTTCGACAGCTGCAGAAATATTACTTTCTAAGGCTACAACCTCTGGAGGTGTTGGGGGGAAGGGTATATTCTGGGTTGCGTGGTACTCGGATGTATTAGCAGGCATGTATAGCCGGTAGTCATTGTGACGGGTTCGGAATTCAACGCCATTCATGACAGCAATGATTTCGCCTATACCCACGGTACGAACGTTGTTGGAATGATCGTGAATTGACGCGATACGTTTCCCGGTGAGAAACGAGTCGGAGTGGTATGCTTTTGTTCCTTCATTGCCTAAGCGTACTTGTTTTAAACCACTTTGACCTAAAACAGATAAACATGAATTAATATATACGGTTTGTGTCACAGTACATGCTACCTTTCACGCAATGGTCAGATTATTAGATGAGAGATAGATGAGGTGATAGATGAGATAGATGGTTTTTATTCAATACTTTGACTTACAGTATACATACTGAATTGATATGGTTTACAGTTAAGAAGAAGTTAAAGCTAATAGATATTTTTAACTATTTACAATAAAACTCATTATAACGACTAGTTGTAATATTTATAAAACCATAGTTAATAGAAATAAACATGGTTAGGAAGGCCGGTAAACTTCAAAGAATTTCCTATTCAAACTTCAACTGATGTTGAAATGTAATTCCGGGTGCACACATCTTTTGTCTTGCGTTTATTAATATTCAAATATTAGGGTTCAGCGATTGAAACTAAGGTTTTTATTGGGTAATCGCCTCATTATACAGAATCCGAGTGCACAAATTTCCATAAACTTGGACAAAAACATAGAACAATGTCTTTTGTCAAGCTTCCAAACCATGTTTATTTTCTATTAACTATGATAAAACGATCTGTATCACATTTAGGGACAGTAAATTTCCTAATGTTTCTTAAGGGCAAGTCTCTGTTCATATTATGCCGTAAGTATTTAAACACTTTATCTTCTGTACTGACGGAAATCGTTACTCGTTATCGACTTGTGACGTCAATTGAAATACGTGCTATTCACAAGGCATACCTGAAGAGCGAAGATTTTCAGAGACGAACAGTTCTAGTTGCATGGTATGACGTAATAAATCTGTGACTCTTTTATTTGACTGCTCCAGTTTCTTAGACATCTCGTTAATCATTTCTTGCAGGGTGATTTCTGCACAAAATCCACCATGACAAGACAGCAATATGGCGACCACAAGTGGAACAATGCTCATCTTCACAACTAAAGGGAAGTAAGGAAAAAAACCCAAAGATTTTATTAAATAAGATCATGTACACGTCGTGCTTACAACCGGTGTCGATTTTCTGTCCGCATCTTACATTATGGGGGCCCATACCCCCTCCCCTCCCCCGCGAGGCATTGTAGAGGGCGTAAAAGTTTTGAGAGGGCCCTGAAACTGCATGACCGTATAATTTCAGATCTGATTCTACATTTTTACACCGGAATTACGCGCTTAGCTCTTGCCGAATTCGCCAAGTTTCATGCACACGGCGAAATCGCGCAATTTCCAGGACAGCTACGAAATCTAGTATTCCAAAGGTCGTAGGTTCGATTCCCACCGTGGCCGGGCATCATTTTCAAGCTCACCCGGTGTGGATATACACTCAGAGTAACATCACAAACATCAGCTACGAAATCGTAATGAAATAACATTACAATGCTCAGCAACCTAGACAGTGCAATTCAGCTTCGCGTCTTCTCGGATAGGGACGTTAAATTGTACGCACCTCGGATACCCTGTCAATTCGACAAATAGCATGTTGGGAAATCCGCTCACCAATGAGGGAGGAACTCAATAAAACTCAAGACAAGTAGCATTTAGTATAGAATTTACACAATAAATCAGCACAAAACAATAGCAAAACTTACATAGATTTTCGTCTGCTCTGCGTCCACAGCTGCTCTGATCTGCTGCACGGAATCCTGCAATGTTTTATAGATAATGGTTAAACCCCTTGAGAAACACTTAGAAACGCATGAACGCGGTAAGAGAGTTATTAATTGACAATTTTAAGAACGAAAAGAGACCGCATTTCAATTTGCATATAATAACTGTGGGACTTTTTCAAAAAATAAATATGTATCTTAAAATACCGTTCCGCTTAAGCGGAACGTCACAAATTATTGGGGGGGGGATTAGGTTGCACATTACCAACATATTACCAGAAACGTCGCGAACTATGGGGAAGGGGGAAGACGAATATATGTTGCCAACATATGACCTTCTGTGGCTGGAAGTCTTAGTCCTGATAATTTTTTTTGCCTTACATTTCAAGCAATATATAGCTTAGTTCATAGCTTAAATATTGTTACAGCATTGTTACACGGTTATATTGAGCTGTCATTCAAAGGCTTTCAGAAATTATTTGGGGGGAGGTTCCCTCTAGCGTTCACCAATGCGCTTACGTTAATGCGATTAAAACATGAAAATGCGTTTTCTTATATAACATTTTACTTATTGTTGGGAAAATACAATTAACTGAAGCAAAATGTTGATTTGATTACGTACACCGCGGGTACTCCTGTTGAAGTAACAATGGATGAACAGGGATTTCCCTCGTCGTCTACGGAAAACAGTTAAAACAAAATTGCTAGAGCTTATCTTAGTAAAAAGTTTTCCTCTGTATACAAGTTCTAGAGAAATGAGTGGTATTCAGGATTGATTTGTGCTGAAAATATTAGTTCAGATATAACTATAATACTAATGAGCTATCTAGTGTTTCTACGTTACGTTTCGTCTTCACACAAGAGCAACAAACCGTAATGCAATTCAGTATTGATAATTTTAAGAGTTGCTTTTGTTGTCTGTGTTTTAAAATGACATCAAACAGAACGATTGTAGATATTCAATCTAAAACCATGAAAATGTTTGCAGACCTGTAAAATTGCTGAGGAAACAAAACGATCTTCAAATTCTATTAACAGGATATGAAGAACACTTCGCAGTCTCAAAATAGACTCAAATGGCAGATAACTAAATATGATTCCTTAAAATTCTCCCTTAAAGTACGCGTAAAAAATTCAAAATATTCCTCAATCAAAAGTTTCCCTCTGCACAAATACTGAAGAAATGACTGAGGAGGGATAGATTTGTGGTGAGAACATGCAATCCTGCATGCTTGATCTTCACACAAGAGTGACAAACCGATTATTGACAATGTTGAGAGTTCTGTTTTAATTTTTAAAACAGAACGATTCTTATATCCTACGCATGCAAACGGATCTATAGATTCATGATTGATTCAATCAAAAAGGTCAAAATTGCTGTTAACTGAGGGTCTATAGTCTATACATAATACGTCTGGAAATTAACATGGTTCAACATTGTTAATACCTGTGTAAGATACAACTTGACCTGCGAACGGATAGTCTGGGTACGAGATTGGATACAAAAGAACATAAATCAAGTGAACCACGCCCACAACATGCATGCATGGTCACATTCTACCTCGCCGCCATTCTTAATTGATTGCTTCATATGCTCTGTTTCATTTCCTCGCCCATTTTCTGAAAAAAAAGTGAAAGATACCAGTGACATGATGTCCTCATGAGTAACTTATGGGTAAATACAAAGGTTTTAGTCATCTCACTCTATAGAACGAATTCCTAAAGGGATTTGTAGATGGGACAATAGTTGCATTTTTTGCAACCGCTCCTAAAGTCTGGTTCACACTTGCAATTTTATCGGCGATTTTCTCCTCCTGACAAATGCGAATGAGTGAACTCGCAGTCAAAAGTATGGAATCGCGTTTTGGACCTATATACATTTTCTCAGTCTTTTGCATGCAACTCATTCAATCACATCCGCCAGGAGGAGAAAAATCGCCGACGAAATTGCCAGTGTGAACCAGGCTTAAAGGCTCGTTTACAACTTCTGGTGTGATTTTCTTTTTTCTGATGGATGTGAACGAGTAGATGACCAGATGATCTTGATACGCGGAAAAGTACTGGCACTAGTTGTCAAATAGAAATCCATTTTGTGATTAAAACAACTGAATATCTCCTGTAGTATACTTTATTTCGATTCCATATTTTTGTCAGAGCTATAGTTCTCATAACCAAACATAATAACAAAATTTCAACTAGTTTCATAAAGAATAACGAAAGATATAATTGACTGAATACATCAAAATGGATTTCTATTCGGACAACCCTTTCTGAGCGCTGATTGGCTAAAATACGAACCTGGGAGTTATGAATGTTCTGAGTATACAGTATGTAAATCTGAACATCCATAACTAATCCACTCGTTCACATCCGTCAGAAGATACTGTAAATGTATAATGGACGACTTGCGCTTTAGAAAAAATTTTAATCTGGGAATAACAAAGGATATTTTCTGCAAAGAAAAACTGCAAAGTTTGGTTGCGAAATGTTGTAAGATACGGAAAATATAGCCCTGCGAAGTTGGCAAATTTGTATACATTTCTATTACGTGCGGAAATTGGTAACTAATTTAGTTACCAATTCACGTACGTAATACAAAAGTATACAAATTTGCCAACTTTGAAGGGCTATATTTTCCGTATTTTACAACATTTCGCAACCAAACTTTGTAATATTACTAATTCCAAGACGCTCTTTCTAGCTGTGGTGATAGATTTCGTTGTTCTTACTTAGATCAAGATTTAGTCTATAATGCAAATGGTCAATTAGGAGTAACAAATGTATAAAAAATGTCCATCTACAAATTCTTTCAATTCTGACAACTTTTTACTCATGACTAACCTTGGTGAACATCTCAGGTACTCCACTTAACTCTGACGTCAATGCATTGGACCTTGTAAGTACCACGCATGACTGACAGACTCTGGTTAATTGATTTATTTTCGTCGGAAACACCCACTGGAAATACCAGGTTAATTTATTGCAAAAAAACCTTTAGTACGTAAGCAAGAATCTTTGTCAGTGCAAATAAACACTCTATGAAACACCGCAGGCAGTTTCTCCTGTGATAACAATAATAACACCAAATCATGCATAAAAATCTTACTCGTTCCCTACTTTTTTGTAATGCACTTTATTTATTTTACTCTACTTTAATCTACAACTATTTCGTATGATTTCAGATGTTCCCATTTGATCTCAAATGTCCCAAATCTCTTACCCAACAGCTAGGGTGAACCTGGCATAATGTTGGTCCCAGCAACGATAAGGCCATCTATGCAATTTTCCATCGCAAGTATAGATGTAGTAAAACTTATGAATTTTCTTATAGCGAACAACGAGTGTATGCTCATGTCCGTTGGCTTCGCTCGTTGTGACTGTTACCCATATTCCCTTGTGAAGATCTGCCATCTAAATGACAAGCGATACAAAAGTGTTGGCACTCATTTAGAAGCAAGAAAAATTAAATTGTGAATTTTATACATTTCTTACACCTAACCAGTTGCGATCTACAGACTATGGTCACAGAATACTACACAGAAGTCCATCTCCATTGTTTTTTGCGTAAGCGTTATTCGTCATGATTCGTCACTCAGCAAGTACCGTAAACAGAAGCAGTCCCCCCCTGGAAATACTAAAAATGGCGCATGTCCAGGGGGGTGACTGCTTCTGTTTACGGTACTTGCCGAGTGACGAATCATGACGAATAGAGCTTACGCAAAAAACAATGGAGATGGACTTCTGTGTAGTATTCTGTGCTATACATGGTACTGAAATAATTCCAACACAGACCTGATAATCCTCAATGACAACCTCGTGGGTGTGTTTTGACGTTTTGTCGCTGGTTGATTTGCCAGTTACCAAAATCACACGTTTTATCGGGGGTAAGGTGGGCAGAGGTTTAGTGTTGATGGATTGTCTGTAGAGTGCGAGATATTTATGCGAGTCCAAGAGAGCGTCTGATACAGCTGAGAGTTCTTTCCAAACTGAACTACCTTCGCCATGCACTGGCATGATGGGGTATCTGGAAAAAAACAAGCCTTTGTTGAGAAAATTGAGGCAGAGGGGAATACTGGAGGGGAGACGAGGGTGGGGAGGGGGTGAAGTCATGGAAAAGTAAGGTACCTACGTAAGGGTGAGTACGATATAAAATATATTATTATTCTCTAAAACCCACCTATAGGATTTCTGGTAAAACGGCTACTAAGTTTAGCATGAGCGGTTGTTTTGTATTAGATATACAAGCTCGAGAGGTTGTATGTCTGACATTGTCTGTTACAAGTTTTACGAATATTGATGAACTTTAAATGCATCTGATATTTCCCACAGTCCGCCACAGCAGAGGCAGACGAGGAAACAACGATAAAAGCTCTTTGATATTACATTACCATGTCCATATATTATTGATATTGCTTGAGTTCTATACAAAATCCAATACATACCTCTGACGTAATACTCCTACACCAGGTATAGAGGGTAAAAAGATACGAATTCCTGAGGCCTTGGTTTGTTTGGGTTGTCCAGCTTTATTTAACACCCAGACAGCACCTTTTGTAGTGTCGGCTGGATCCTTGCCATTGATGTCGCCAGTAAAAAAAGCCGCTGGTGTTTGATAGAATATTGGTTCACTCGTGCCATTGTATGCTTTCTCTCGCGTGGCTCCATTGCGCTTCCCACCTTACAGCAAGATTTTAAGAATTTAGTAAAAATCGCATAACGGTTCTTCACAAGGCGCCTGCTATTACACAATTTCGCCGCTTGTTTCCACCTATGGAATAGCCTACAGCCGTGGTCAAAGGAGAGTTGATAAGCGAGAGTTTGCATGAGAGTTTTCTCAACTCGCATGTCCCGGTCAAACGAAAACAAAAGTTGCATGAGAGTTGATAAGCAAGAGTTTGCATGAGAGTTTTCTCAACTCTCATGTCCCGGTCAAACGAGAACAAGAGTTGCATGAGAGTTGATGAGAGTTGATGAGAGTTAACTGGACGTTACCGCGCAATAGTGAAAACTCTTATCAACTCTCATTAAAATTTGAGCCAGTTCAAAGTCAATGAGAGTTTATGAAACGCGAGTGAGAGTTACAACTCTCATCAATTCTCATCTCCGTTAGACGTAAAATCAACATACCTTCAGTGACTTCACGGCCTGGTTTTGAATTAGAAAGTCCTTTGAACTGTATATCATAGGGATTCCAGCTTAACAGTGGTGTGAGGTAAATGATCTCCAGAGGTATGGCATACGTCCACTTCTGGCTATACAGCTTACATACACGTTTTCCTCGTGAATACTGACAGTCGTTCAGGTCCATGCCGGCTATTTTAGGTTGTGATGTCATAGCCATGAATAGATTCTCATCCGAGAAACCACGATGACGGTTACTCAACCCCATGGCGCCTCTCTGAGTCACTCTGAACGCACGGTTGTAATACGCAGCGTTAATCTGGAAAATACATCAAAGTACTCGTAAGGTGTACTACCTGGTTCTACCATACTAAATGAACAGAGCCTCATTTTCGGGATTGAGATAGCGGCTTCTAGGCCATACGGATATGGCAGGGTTCTATTGGCAGGGTTCTATTGGCAGGGTTCTATTGGCAGGGTTCTATTGGCAGGGTCATATTCAAAATTCTATTGGAAACCCTGATTACTGGATTTGTATATTTGGATTTGTTTTATTACACTTAACCAGAAACAGTTGTGAAAAATGCAACTTTAGGTCCCTGACAGGAATCGAACCTGTGATTCCGGTGCAGTGCTCTAACCAACTGAGCTACAGAGAGACAGTTGTCGAGCTCTAACCAACTGAGATACAGAGAGACAGTTGTCGAGCTCTAACCAACTGAGCTACAGAGAGACAGTTGTCGAGCTCTAATCACAAGTTCATGTATAAATACTAAGGTGATTAGCAATCTGTTTACCTTGTCATTTGGATTAGTAGTATCCAACCGCACAGCAGGTAAATCAAAGGCATCGTCAACCAAGTTTCCAGGATAATTATCCTTTCCAGGAATCTCAGCCATAAGTTTGTCCAACAGTCCATACTCTCCCCTGGGGAAATAACTATGCCATCTATCGTCATCTTTCATGTTCAGCTGAAATCTTGCTTGACGTGTCCATGCCAGATCAACAACGGTTAGCCGACCTTTCATTCGTCGCCCGAACTCGTCAACTACTCGTAGACGGTTCGTTGGGAGGTCGCCTTTGATCGGATGACACATGATACGGTAGTTCCATTGCGCGAACACGGGGGTAGTTCCGCGTGTCACGTTCATAATTGTGGTCGGTAAGTAAGCATAGTTTTCAAAATTACTCTTCCGTCCTGAGTAAGAGGTGAATCTGAAAATAAAATTTATACATTAATGATTTTCTCATAAATTTCTCCTCTGGTCAGATAAAGACATGTTCTCACTGGATCTCCATAGAAACAAAGTCAAACTGATAGAGCTGTCCAGTATAAATAAAGGTAGTTTCGATATTAATACAGGACTAGCAAATGATTAGAGACAACCCCTCCTCCCATCTCAATATATTTTATGGATGATTTTGGATCGATGAGCGATGGCTCTTACCGGACCACAATAATGCTGTTGTCAAACGAGAATTGATGAGATTGATTGAATATACCGCGCGGGGAGCAAAAACTCTCAACCAAATCTGAGAACCAGCTCAAAGTTGATGAGAGTTGGCAGTGAAACCCCAGCGAGAGTTGCTGTACTATCCAGAGAACTATCCAGTATAAATAGAGTAATTTGAGTACCTGATCTTTTCTTGCAAGTCAAACCAGTTCTTGGCGTCAACGAAATGCCTGTCGCTAGGGAATGGTTCATCAATATCACCTTGAGTGTTTGGGTTAGTCCAACCTCCTTCCAGATAACACAGTACTGGTCTGAAATATTTCCTGTAGTCTCGTTTTGATGTATCCTGGTCTCGCCAAGCTTTGAACCATTCTCGCATCTCCACCACCTGCGTTTCCGTGGTTTTCAATGACGACACTTCCGGTGGGACAGGTGGGAATGGAATCGGTTCCCATTCTCCATACCGGGGACTCGTCCTATGTGGCATATATAGCCGGTAGTCATTATGCCGGGTACGAAACTCGACCCCATTCAAAACAGCAATATACTCGCCCATACCAACGGTACGTAGGTTGTTTGAATGATCGTGTATAGCGGCAACTGCACCCCCGGTATGTGTACTCGTTTGATAAGGTCTGTCACCCAAACCATAAACACGCACCTGTGAAGAGAAAGAAACTTAGACAAGCGGCCAGGGCCAGTCATTCATGGCGGACACTATATACACCCCCGTGAGGGGGTGGGGGACCCCCGTGAGAGGGTGGGGGACCCCCGTGAGGGGGTGGGGGACCCCCGTGAGGGGGTGGGGGACCCCCGTGAGGGGGTGGGGGGATGGCGGGGGTGTATTCATGTATTCATGTTCACATACCATAAAAATAGGGGTGGGGGGATGGCGGGGGTGTATTCATGTATTCATGTTCACATACCATAAAAATAGTTGCTTTCAAAGGAAATCCGTTGGGCAGGACACGAATGTATGAATATACATCCCCCCCCCCCCAAATGGACCTATTACCTAATGAACAAAATTTTGATTTAGGTTTCGTTGCGAAATGTTGTAAAATGCGGATAGTATAGCCCTGCGAAGTTTGCCGTTTTTCAGTCATTTTGTATTACGCACGGGGAATTGATACCTTTTTTTAAGAAAGCGGTATCAATTTCCCGCGCGTAATACAAAATGACTGAAAAACGGCAAACTTCGAAGGGCTATATTATGCACATTTTACAACATTCGGAATATTACTAATTTTGTGATGCTCTTTCAAGCTGTGGTGAAATGTTTGTGTAGACTTGTCCAGATCAAAATTTTGTTCATTGGGGAATAGGTTCATTGTTGCGTCTAAGTCATGTTCGCGAGGGAGCAAATTTAGGTTGCCATCACCTTGTAGCCTGAAATCTTAGTTCTCTAAACTTTTTTACTTCATACAATATACAGATTGATCTATAGCCTAACCGTGTTTTCATGGTCAACAAATAATTGTCACAGTCTTGTTACACAGTTATTCAGCTATCAAATATCTAAGGTTTTCAGAAATATATTATATTTTCGGAAACTATATTCACACTATTTCAACAGCATACCAGATGTGTGGAAATGGCAGTCAGTGAGGAAATTGAATTTCTAAAATATTCCAATCTAATGCTATTTCAATAGTAAGGTTTTTCAAAAAATTTCCAGTCATGACTAACATCAACTAACCTGTTTGATTCCTGAATGGCCTTCAGACCGGATGCGTTCTTCGACGAACAACTGCTGGAGCATAAGCTGGCGGGCGACATTACCGATGGTTTTCTGTAGACTAAGCTGATTCGCTCTCATCTGTTGGATCTCTGCTCGTAGACTGGCCTCGTCTTCGTATGGGCTGTTATTGTCAACGGAATTGCTCCGTGCCGAACATGTCAACGCCAAGAGGCAAATGTACTGGATACAACGCAACATTACTGAAACAAAACAGATAGTTATAGGTTAGGTGACTTTTACCTCGCGATCAGGGTTCAATTTGTGTCTAGGGAGCACTTCCAGTTCAACTCAACTAACCCTTGGAGATTTTCTCCAGAAACTCCGTATTCCTTCTGTTGTAACCAAGAGTGGAAAAATAGGCGAAATGTATAAACAGCTGCAGGACATTACATAAGTTGAAGACACAATTTAAACAAAACCCTATAACATGTATGTCCTAGTATGGGCCCAACAACTTATGCTTGAAAGACATCTTTCCCGGAATACTGTGGTCAGCCATGATTTTAGGCACAGATGTACTCGGTTGGTCTACAGGAAATTTTTATCTCCAGATTATTTCCTAGAAGAAAATTGTTTTGTCCAACAGTGGACCAATAAGGGGTATAGTTGAGTATAGCGCTTACTAGACCTTTAACCTTTAAGAATAGATGTTAGAATTGATAAAGATATCCAGTATAAGAATAATAAAGTTTAGTGTGGGTTTCCTCCTCTACATTGGACGTATAAAGGATACTCCTTATTGGACGTCAAGGGAGGAAACTTTAACAGAACATTCAAGTTAAATAAAGTCTACCACCATACCCACGAAAACAAAACTAAAACTGTTCTTTCAAAACGCATTACTATAATTTATTGTCACTATACCTTCGTTCAATTATATGAATCCTAGCTCTGTAGGCCTTCAGTAATTTGAACTCTACGATCTCTCCTCTCTTCACCTTTGCGATCCGAGGGTTCTTCTGAGGGTCCTCCAAGGAAAGGCTGAAATTTATAATCACTTGATCTTTAATTAAACGGTTCTCCTTAAATAAAGTTAGTTTGTACAGATTTCAGCTACGTCAATGTTGTAATTGGTGTCATGGTGTTATCCAATTAAGCGAAGTAATTAGTTTTTATAATTAATAATTCTCTATACAGTGTTACTATTTTAATTAATTGAAATTATCATTAAAATTTAATATTTGATGGCGGTGTCATTTGATGTTTATGTAAACTGTTTATCGGAGTTAAATAATTATTTTAAACACTAATGAAAATAATTTTTTAATTAAACAAGCGAACATATTAATGGCCAAATAATAGTGATCTTTAATTATTTTGAAATCTTAATTCAGAGTCGATGTAAAATTGAACGTTTATAGAACTTCTATATTTGTTCAGAGGATCCATCTGAAGGTCATAAAATAATAAATGTTCATTTGATTGATACAAAAGAGCTTTAAATTTATCAATGTTGCTCATTTCTTTTTATTCACTGTAGTATTAGTAAAACTCGTTAATTCGTGAAGAAAATTCAAAAGAAATCAGTGTCTAATGAGGTGTTGTATTCCCACATATAAAAAATTCTCCTGACTTGCATAAACTTTAGCTCGATTTTCTCAGTGAAATCACTTATTTTTTAATAATTACTTAAAACAAAATTGTTGAAATCCTGTTCAAATTCGTGTCTGTGTTGTATCATGCAGGCATACAACCTCTTGTCTTCGGCTCGAATGTGCATATCTGATACATGATGGTCACTCATGCTTTATATAGTAAATATAACAATTAAGCAATAACAAGTAATTTACATTCATAGCAACTTTTACCTAATTCCCTTCCTTGTGCCACACCTCCTTTTCGATCTTTTAGTCCAACCCCAAACACCATTTTGCCCGCTATATAGCGGTCTATCCAGGTTCTTTTAAGGATTTCAGCCAAAGATCTGCCATCACCAAAAATCTTTATCTTCACCGTCACTGTTGCTTTGAATCCTAAAATCTCTACCTAAAACACTCTAAGCTATACTGTTAAAATTTATCACTTTCTAACTTTTGATGATTTAGTTACAACAACACGGAGTAACATACTATCTAAACTCCTAACCTCTACATATTTAGCATTCTAACTTTTATACAAATTCTCAGAGATAAGCCAGATTTACGTGGAATAATTTAATTTTAATTTAATTTCGGATTACACTAAAATATTCCTATCATTTTCATTCAATAAAATTTCAACTTATCTATATACTCTTGTTGCTAAACATTTGCTGGTAATCAAGACAGGATACAGAAGCTGCTATCTACATATTAGGATTAAATAAGCTATACACGTTCGTATGAAAATAACGGCAACAATACTCATTTGTATTGAAGATGACAAAAGAAAGCTTAATATTTTACTGCAATAATATCTTAGACTTAGTATTACAGTCGTGCCAATAGTTAGGAACGTTAGTTAGGAACTTTTTAAGAAACTTATCAAATTGTTGAGGAATTGTTCAGAGGAACTCCTAACTTCGAGGAGTTCCTCTGAACAATTCCTCAACAATTTGATAAGTTCCTTAAAAAGTTCCTAACTTCCTGTTTCATTGATCATTCAGATTGCTCAAAAATAAAATATAAAATTTGATTGGTCAATGAAACAGGAAGTTAGGAACTTTTTAAGGAACTTATCAAATTGTTGAGGAATTGTTCAGAAGAACTCCTCGAAGTTAGGAAATGAATTGGTCAACATTTTTCGGACCGCTTCTATTGGCACGACTGTAAAAGCAAAGACAAGAAAGTGAACGTTGAAAGCCAGTCTCACAGTCCCCCTTCAACTAAAGTAGAAAAATATAATGAAATATCAGACAATTTATACGGTATCAAAATTTCGGTAAAATACAATATTCATTATTTTGGCTTACTATTCATTTGGGCATCAAGATATTATTGCAGTGATGTATGGAGCTTCCCTTACCATGCCTCTGTCAAAACCGTTAAAATACCTACTTTGAAGTTTTATACAAATGAAGTTCTAGTCTTACGAACAGTTCACCAGTGGAAACTTCATGTAAAAGCAAACGTTTTTCCCACGGTCCTTTTCCGTCACTGAGTAAGGTCGCCACAGAAACTTCAGTTCGACCGAGAAAATCTGAAATGAAACGTTGCACGCATTAAATAATTGCACATGCATGATGAACTTTCACCAGATCTTATTGCTGGGTTGAAGGAAGCGTTATTGCAGAACAGCAGACAGGTGCGAATGTCAGAACCAACTCTCATCAACTCTCAGCGATCCTCGAAGCATACCAAACTATCTCCCTTTAAGCATACCAATTTATTTCCCTTTAAATACTTCACTATGATGATTAGAGATTAGGGTTGGGTCAGGTTTCAGTCAATGTTATTTTCTTGCACTTGCGTCTTTACTGTCCATAGGACATGGTGGGTTAGGCACATAGGTCAGGGGGCAGATCATTAATGAGGTGTGGACTAATAGTGGCTGCTTAAAGTGCCATTTGTAAGCTCACAGTCTGCCTCGGTCTGCTTCACGCTAGTTCCGGCTTATGAAAAACTCTGATATAGGGAGTGTGCTGAGTAATATATGTATGTATGGATCTATAACCAGATAAATCACTTACCATTGGGCGAGTACATGTCTTGATCAAACACTGATATACACAAGACATCTTGTTTAACGTCTCGTAGAGAGAATTGCATCTGACAAAAGATAAATACGCTTTGTTTAACAATTAAGCCTGGTTTACACTGTCAAAGTTTCTGTGAGGAATTTTGCATTGGTAAATTCTAAATTTTCAAGGATTTGTAAGAAATGTTTAAGGAAACTGACCGCCTGTATTCTAAAAGCTCACTCGCACTCAATGAGTGGAGGTTCAATCTGAGCTTCTCTTGAGTGTCAATGCTGTTTTTGAACAGCTGGAGGGTGAGTAGTCACATAGTAAGGTACGACACTAACCCTCCAGCTATTCAAAAACAGCAATGACACTCGAGGGAAGCTCAGATTGAACTTCCACTCATTAGTGTGAGTGAGCTTTTAGAATACAGGCGTTAGTGTGAGCCAGATCCCTGAAAACATCTCTTACAAATCTTTCAAAATTTTTACCCATGCAAAATTCCTACTGTGATCACAGAAACTTTAATAGTGTAAACCAGACTTTATAGGTTGATATTTCGTACATTCCAAGTTGCAGGTTGAAGATCTTACCGATGAGTTCCACTTTGGATTAAGAGAGTTGGTGATCACTTTTGTTTTGTGTTCCTGTCCTCCAAGACTCACTTCACAGTAAGGATCACTCAAACCTGAATTAGCAGAAATGTGATGTTATTGTGATTATGTTAATTAACTTAATGTATATAGAATTGTGCAAATATGTAAATTGATTATACTAAAACTGTCTGTACCAGTGTAGGTAGTACCAATGTGAAAATGCTGTGCTGAGTGGTTATATTACTATTTTAAAAAACAAGCTCTCTTGACAAAGGGCCTTCGCTCGAAACGTCTATAGTTTCTGTTTGTTTTTTTTAAGGTAGTAATATAACCACTCAGCACAGCATGTATACTGATTGCCTGTTTCCTTTCACAGGGAAAGTTGACGGGGTGGGTTAGGATAAACATAGCTATATAGGAAAGTAATATCACATTATTGTTGTAAAGATAAATAGTCTATAGGCTACGTAGGTCATATACGATAAGCGTTATACTTGATGTAATCAGTCACTGAAAAGCCCTGATGGTGCTATATTTTCTGTAACTTTTATATAACTATATTTTCAATGTGACAAGAATGAAGACTCAGACAGATTTGTCAGCTTGTTCATTAGTATAAGGATTTCTGTTCCCGATGACGGCGAATGAATAAGGAAAAATATAAGACCCAATTTTTCAATTTACTCACCATTGGGATCAGAAGCTTTAAGATCCGAGCCTTCAATAATGAAGACAACCAGTTTACCAATATTGTCAGCACGGAATGATCTCGCTGTAAAAAGAAAGGAAAATCAACAAGATGCAAGTCATAAATGTAACCTACAGTATCTTCCATACGTAACACCATTACTTTAAAAATGAAACTTAAAAAAACATATTTAAACAGCATTCAATTGCGCTGTTATCAATGAACGCCCTGCATGATAAAAAAATGCATCAATCTAGTAATATGGTTTAGTACTTGGATGACTTTCATGGAGTTATTATCAAACAAAATAAAGAATTTTACCTCTATGGGCTTTTTGCCTCTGTAGTCTCTCCGTTTCTATATATTGTTCCGAAGCTTGCTTTAGTTTTCTCACCCATGTTATTCTAAGAGAAAACAGTATTAGTTGCAGTGGTTTTCTCGGAAGAATCTTCTAAACGTTCAAGACTTTCTACTGTTTTATCAGGTAGTAAAAGAGACAAGCTCACCTTTCATTCTTTGTTTCAGCTCGCAGTAAGTATACTCGATCAATATGTGAGACTTGGAATAATGTTTCTTCAGCTGAAAAAAATTAGAATGATGTAAATAGAAGTTTTATTTATACTCGATACTTTTGTCAGTGTTGTCCCTTGAGGTCTACCAAGGGCATCCTTTATCATACAGAAACTTGGCAGAGTCAAACTGGTAGCACTCTACTCACATACATGAGGTGAAATTATAACCAGACATTTACTGGAAGGCACACACTATAAATTACCGTTCATCTGCTGAAAAGTTCACAAACTACGATTATATTAGAACTGAAAACATACTGTTTTGGTCGGGAACTTTCACTGTTATTTCATTCAACCGGATCGGCTAAAACAAATATTAAGTGTTGTTAGCTGTAACGATGATGATAATCATGATGATAATCACGATAATGATGATCATGATCATGATCACGATAATGATGATGAAAAAGGATGATGATAATAATAACGATGATAATGATCATTATAATGATGATGTTCATGATGACGATGATGACAATGATCATCATTATTATCACGATGAAAGCACTTAAAGTTCTTGGTTATGCCTGCATTGTACATACCGGTTGATACAAGACGTACTGTTTTTCTGAATCTTTACTAATTTTCTTCGCCAACGAACTATTTTCACGTGTAAGTAGCAGAAAGTCGTTACAAAGAAATGCTTGGAGTTCTTTACCACTTTTATGCTGGAAGAAAAACACACATTGAGTCAAACCACTCTTCATACATGCAAGAAAAAAATGAACGTAGTGTAAACAACCTTAAACAGAGTTCCTTCATATACAAATTTTCTTTGACCAAGACAATTGGTTTGCGAGTTGAAAATAAGTCGCTGAAAAAAACAAAATATTCTAATTCATGAATTACTGTACTTCTCAAGCTTGTACCTCTCTCTATTAAACTGGGTGTGGCATGTCCCGATAAATTTCTATCTATCATGGTGTTTTAAAACTCTCATAGCTTGGTTCCTACCTCATCCAGTCCTTCAGTACTGATGTGTGTCTGCATAAACTCCAAGCGATCTGTGTCTTCCTGTGATCGCACGCCCTCGTTCACCTACGAACACACATTGAATAGCCATAAAATTCCTTCTTGACAAATTAATGAAGCACATTTCATGAACATACCTGGCGACAGAGGTCCTGGGCTTTCTCTAAGGCAATTTCTAGATCTCCTCGATCAAAATGAATCTCCGGAGTGCCTTCAAGAATCTAGTGAGATTTGAGAGATTATCGACTAAAATATCACTAAACGTGTAAATTGTATGCTGGATGTCAGTTCTAAACTGTTCTCCCTATAGAAGTCCTGATCATGCCTAATCGTTTCCGTGTTTATACTATGCGAGATAGTGCGGTGCTTGGTCAAAATGGAAGCATTCTTCTTGTATGCAACTGAGGAATAATTTACCCAGACAACGGCATATTGCACGTATCGAAAAGGGATGAAAAGATACTCTTGTATTATCACGTATTGTAGTATACTGATTATGACAATGCATGCATGATAGTGCAAGACAGCATAATACCGTACCGTGACACACAGCTCTGTACTATCAAAATAACTACTGATACACACCTTCCTTATAAGCAACGGATATTTAGTGACTCTCTGTAAAGGCTTGAGAAGATAACTACTGAGAGGCATACCACGAGCGCGAGAATCCTGACAACATTTCTGCGAATGATTAAACAGATTATAAGCGACACACACAAACCGTCTGTAAACAGATTATAAGCGACACACACACACACAAACCGTTTTCACTGCCTAATGATAAATCACTACTTCAATACTCGCAAATATAGCAGCAAATCGATACAAAACCAATAACGTGGATTCCTACAAGAATTGTACACACATAGAAAGACTTTACCTTTTCTAAAGCTTTAAATTCTGGTACACTCTCAATTTTGTTTTGTAGCAACTTGCAAGCTTTCAGTTGACAACTGCAGAATCGGATGTATGGTGTTAGGCGTGGCAGCTAAAGGAAAAATAATATTACAACAATGTACAATACTATCAATGCAATATAGTAATCAATCTAGCTCGGTTATCGAATGAAATCTCTTGCGTACCTGTTCACAGAGAACATCTCCAATGATATAAATTTGACTTTCGTTATTCATTTTCCTTCGTACTAGGAAAGCTCTGAAATTACAGCAATAAACAAATCTTACGTACAACTCATTTTTTTGTAGAGAAGTCCCTCTGAGAGTTGACAAAGCTCCCTCTGAGTTCATCAAAGCTCCCTCTGAGAGTTGATAATAGAACCATGATATTCTTAACTCCTCGTTCTTTCCATCAACATGATTTTCAGAGATAACCAAGCTTGTAACTGTCTAAGGACATGCAACTACTACTTACTTCAGTAACTTCGTGCTACAAAATATTAACTCTCTCCAGTTGACGAATATTGTGTTCAGTTCACTTTCACTAAGAAGATTGGATGTGGCGATTTGATTGTAAAATACCTACAGAGAAGTAACAAAAGTAATAAAGCGCAGGATATTCACATCTGGCCATTGCAGATTCCTAAAATAATCTCCACTTTCTGTTAGGATTACAAAAAAAAAGAAGATTGTTACGGGCTCCCAGGCCCGAAAGGGTGGGGGGTGGCAGGCTTTTAGCCAGAAGGGCGTCCAGGCGTCCTGGGACGCTCCTGGAACGAGAAATGGACGCCTTTGGACGCCCAAATTACGGGGGAAATTATTTTCAATGATTTCCCTAAGTATACTAATATATCTGAAAGGAAATAGCTTAAATTCTCATTATTATTATACAGTTGACATTTCGATCAATTTGATGGTGTTACCTGGCTGAATGAAAATGTCATAGTTAAGTAAAGAAGCATAGCGGCACAAACTCACAAAGCCAAGTGTTTTGAAAAATTTCGAACGAGCTTGGAACAGATACTGACATGAAGTAACGTAAACTTCAAAGGTTTTCCAGAGGAACGTTTTCTCGAATCCCTCCCCCTAATACTGTAGATGTATCGTTGTACCAAAATTGGACGCCCTCTTTCAGGACCCTGGCTAAAAGCCTAGTGGGGGGTGCTTTGCCCTAGGCCCCTAGCTGAAAAGGGGCCTGAAAGCATCGATGGCCCTTAAAATTTCTTGATACAAGATTGCTTAATTTAACTGAAAAGATAAACCCTGGCTGCGTTAATGCAGGATAAACGCAATAAAGTGTAATATATTGTAGAACACCGCTTCTCTCGTTTTACAATGACGTCATAGGTGCCCCCTGGGAAAACTTTGCCCCTGGCCCTGCGCAACCTCTCAACGGCCATGCGTGCTCCACAGGTATAGAGAGCGCTGACTTACCTCTAAAGTTAAACTCATGTCATCTACATACGTCTGTTCACTGTTAATAAGTTCATAAATACAGTTCTGAAAACAAACACAATATAATTGCCATGTCATGTAAATGGGCCAAAACTACAGCAGAATGTGAACACTGAAGGCCATGTGACACGGTGCAATTTTTCTTGAAACTTGCAATGCAGTTCTACTCTTGAGAGATGTAAAATTGCCAAATACGAGTCTTCATTACACTCCGCCGATGTTTTCTCAACATGATTGTTGAAAATTCTTCACAGATTTCACTAATTAACATCTCTCAAGAGCAGAATTGCATTGCAAGTTGCAAGAAAAATTGCACCGTGTAACATGACCTTAAAGCAAGATGGATTTCTTCATTATACCTGTCTATTCCGTTCCATCGACGTCATAGAGTCGAGTAGTTTTCGATCCCATGTTCCTGTCCCTGAGAAAGGAATATTTTCTTGTAGTTACAATATTTTTACACATGATAGTGCTTGTAATCAAGTCATGTAAGACTGTACTGCAAAAAAATTTCACTCAGAAACTTGGCTGAAATAATGGACCGAGTAAAATTATTCAATTTATGAGCAAATTTCTTCAATTTTTTGAGTAAGGGAAATCTTTACTCGAAAAGTTGAGTAAATTTGGAACTTTACTAAAACAATTGAGTAACTTTGCTCAACACTTTTAAGTCAATATGGGTGCTTCTAGTTTTTGAATCGAAATAATCAGGGATTTTTGCTGTGCGATTTTCCAATATTGTATTAGAAGACAAACAGTATACAACCAGAATTATAGGTTTAATTAACATCCATCGCTCCTTCCCCGCTCTATATGTAACAGCTACCAAAAACCAACAAGAATAACATCCCTCACCGTAAGTACTTTTTATAAAATCAACTGCACTGACAGCCCGATATCCAAAATAAACTCGATAAAACAGTCCACGATCCATATGAGATTCGCAGGAAGATTTTACAATATATACACGTATAAAGACATTTCTATCCATCTTATCAAGACTACGGTCATCTTATGAAGAGTATGATAACCGTAGCTGATATTATTCTCATGCATCATAGATTGCATGCTCGCGCACATTTTAAATAATTGATAACATGAGAGCACGTTTACACTATCAAAGTTTCTGTAATCGATAGATTAAGTAACGAAACTTTGCCGAGAAGACTTTCAGGTAATCTTGTACTTTGACCAAAGTCTTTGAAAGCACTTAAAACACACTTTGACCAAACTTTAAACTTTGTTCAAAGAATGTTTTAATGTAAACGAACCTACGTATATGCAGCAGGTTGGATATTACTATATTAGAGAAGCAAGCGACCTTTTTGACCACCGTATACGCCAACTGGAAATCAGTCAAGCTGCTACAGATGGCGTCAGCAGATAAGAGAGGTTAAGATTGACGTTTACGGCAGACCGGTAACGGCAAACTTCAATTCGCATTTAAAGGTAAGTTAGACAAGTTGTCGAAGGTTTCGACAAGTTTTTAGTCAATAGACAACTTGCATGTTAGACAAATTTTTGATCTAGCCGATCTAGGACAAAAAAAGTAAATTCCCGTTAAGAACTTATTAAAATTAGTAAACTTGCAAAATTTGGTTGCGAAATGTTGTAAAGCTTGGAAAATACAGCTTTGCAAAGTTTGCATATTTTCAGTATATTTGTATTACGTGCGGAAATTGTTACCATTTTTGAGCCGAAAATGGTAACAATTTCCGCTCGTAATACAAATATACTGAAAATTTGCAAACTTTGCAAAGCTATATTTTTC